GCCAGTAAGGCAGTATTCACTGAGGTACATGTACAAGTAGAATGCCGTGTTATTCAAATATACAGTTGATTGACAGAACTTGTCAGTACTTCAAATTTTATGTGGCAGTTGAGATAATGATGGAAAAAAGGCCATTTGTTTGGCTTCAGTATCAATCTACCTGCTTCTAGTAAAATTTTGAATTAGGAATTAATGTGTAAGTAACGTATTAGTGTAACGAAAACTTTCACCCATGTGTGATGTGCTGGGCCCCACCACAATTCTAGGTCTGTACAGGTTTTGCTTTTTCATTTCTCTCAAAGGCACGCTGTCATTATTTTCCATTCCTCTCTCCTGACTGGCAATGCAGCTCAGTACAGCCACCTGCACCGGCACTTGGGCTATCCCACAGTGAGACCACTCAAGCAGTTTGTCCATCCAGCCATTTTGGGAGGTGCTTGATTGATTAGACACAAATGTTATTGATTTTAACTCCCGTGAAACTAGGCTCAGGCTAATATTTACAGAATGGGTTTTGTGGATGAGTTGAACTGACTACCAGAAATAAAGAGGTTGTTAGAGCTAGAATCATCGGGGAGCTAAAGAGACCATGAAAGGGGACAGAAGCATGAGTCTGTGATGCCCAGTAACAAGATCCTTTTGGAAAGAGTTTTTTTTTGGGTCAACTTAAGAGGAAACAGAGATGACTTTGGTCAGTAACTTTTTGATCAAAAGCACTAGGTACATGCTGCCCTTCTATGGATGGGAGCCTGCCATGGGGTAAGCAATTAACTTCACAATCTTGATTTTCAATTTAGTTTTGCAGCGTTATCACAAGAGGAACTGCAGATTTCAATCCTCTTTATTTAGCACTTATTCTCAGTTATTTCTGTTAAAATTTTGCTCCAGTCATAATCAGCTTTTTTTTTTTTCATGTAATGAATGCATTATGTGAGACACAGGAGACCTACGCCCTACTGAAGGGGAATATTTTTCATTTTTCACCTCGAAGCCCTTTACAAACTCTCATTAATTTAAATTCCTTCCGCACCCCTGCTGAATAACCTAACACAAATGCAATGTCACACTCGAGATCTCTGTGTGTATCACTTGGTCCTCTGAGCTTAGGAGCAAGCCAGATCCCACTGTGCATTAAAATTTCGGTGAAGGATTCCTGACAGCCCCATATGCAGAATCATCATAGCGCATTATTCTTTAGAGAGAGCTGTTGTCCAGACAGATGCTGCAGAGAAGTGTCAGAAACAAAATGGGGCCCTCCCAAAGAAGATACCAGAATTGTGACTGTGGGAACTTGGGGACTGGAAATGGTTTTTTTGGCGTGGTACTTTCCACTCTGAAAAACAAAGTGATGTTTATCTAGTCCCCACTGCTCGGACTTCTAATGAGCCCTCCCTTTCAAGCTCCTTTCCCCAGCAACTTTTGAATTGACTCCCATGGCAGCTGCTTTCCCTCTCTTGCTCTACCTCCAAGCCAGGGAGAGTAGGAGGGAAACTCAGTCTACCGTGGTGTAGTAAGATTTCCAGAGTACATTAACGGGTGGAGCACCAGCCTGGGACCTTCATGGGGTTTTAGATCTTTACGTTAAGCTGGGCGTTGCCACTCATGTTCACCTCCGTCTTGAGGATGTGGTGTTTCTGCAGCAGAACCAGATGTGGTATTAGCTGTACAGCCTAGGAGGAACTGGAATCTGGATCCTACAACTGCAGTTTGATCAACGAAGAACACTTTTAGGCTGGGTTTCTGAAGGGATGAGGCAGGGCAGTAAGGGAAGCACCCGCAGTCTGGAATGTAGAGCTGCAGGTCTCCCCCACGTCTGCTTGGCTGCTACCTCTGGTTTCCAGACCAGAACTCACCCCACAACTTGTGCACCTTTATCTGCTAGAGACAGCCATTATTAAGAAATCCTTTTGTGAGCAACATACAAAGGCTCTTCAGTCTTTAAGTGCTCAGTAGGCCACAGATTTGGGAAACCACGTATAAAATGTTGGCAGATAGGATGGACCTCTGGGTCAGACCCAGACAGCATGCCCAGTGAATGATTCAATGGAGACAAACTGTGAAACATGATTGTTTCTTCAAAACGTGGAGCTAAAGAAGGATCCCGGGAATGTGCTAATCAGGGTAGATTTTATGAATAAAAACATTACTGAAATTTTAAATCAACCTGTCATGCAGTTTATGCAGGAAAAAAAAATAATGTAGCAAATCCTGAATGTCTTGGCCCCAAATAAAACAAAGTTCAATTAAGGTCACAGTTACTACTGCCTAATGAATTAAAACTTACAGGCTTTATATGTGGACATGAGTTTCAACATGTAGAGTTTCCTCCCCCTTCTTTCCTGCTTGACTTGGAGATTTGCCCTCTATGTAAATCACTGGGAAGAGTAAGGAGTTCAGCTCACTGAAAATCCCTATCTTCCTTTATTCAGTAATGCCTTTTCAGATTTGGCTTCCTGTCTTTACTTTGCTTGATATCCTCCCAGACATCTCTCTATCTGTTGCCAATATGCTTCCTCACCTGAGCTGTTCAGGCTCGTAATTATCTTCACGCTTGGAAACCTAGGCTGAATGCATATTAAATGATACCGATTTTCTCTGCGTAGATATCAGGTGCTGTAAATTCTGGATTCTTCATGGTACAGAGCTGGAATATAGACACATTTCTTCTAAATATAACACTTCACTCCCAAGAGATTTCCTGTGGAGACAGGGCCTCTGTCTGTCATAACACGCCCCGCCAGCTAGCTTTGCAGGCAGAACCTGATAGTGTATTTAATCCTCCATATCCACTCTTGCAACCCATAAACATTAAACTGGCTTTAAAATGATGATAGAAAGGGCTTAAGTTTTGCAAGACAACATTAAAATAACTGTGAAATTAGTCAGAGGATCAAATATGTTTTTATATGCCACTTTAAGTAATCATCCCTCCCCTAAATCAAATAAGTGCTTCTTTCATTCAAAACAAAAATTCCTGCAGTAGGGCAACTTCTCGCTGAGACAAGTTTTGAGCTGCCCCTGCGTGTTTAGCTCAGGGGAAGGAGGCCCTCTTTTGACTCACTCCCGCCTGTAATCGGCTTCCCAAGATGATTCCCGTCTGCTCCGATATTGACGATGCACAAACACAATGAGTCATGCCGCCAGCTCTGGAAGCTGCTCACCAGTCCGCTTCATTTTCAGGCACCACACAGCTGATGCAACCTGTGGCTCTTTGTTGAGAATCCGTACTTTATTTATCTTTGTGGAAACATCTGCCACACAAATTGGAGATTAGGGCATTATAACAATAATAATAAAGCCCATTACAATAATAAGAAACACCAAACCTGAGCAGCCTCTCCGCTTCTGCTGTTGGTTTGCTTCTCCCACCATGGTTTCCTGCCCAGCACTACTTGATCTCCAGTCAGGCAGCTGTGACTGACACATGGCAGCAGGCGGCTCGCATTACTGCAAATTTAAATTTCGGTGCACTTCTTTAATGTCGTAAAACAACTTCTTGGCTGCTTATATTTTACATTGTGGACGGCGGGCCAGCCGCTCCACCACAGAACTCTCTCCTCAGCATCTCTGACAGACACTTGGCTCGTTTTCCCGCTTCCCCGCCGTCAAACCTCTCCTAGCCCCGCCTCACGGCACAGCCATGAGCAAAACCACCATTTGCCCCTGCTTTAGCGAACGGGTCACACTTCTGCCGGGCCAGCTCCGTGGCTGTTTATCAGGACCGGCGTGCAAACGCTTCCTTCACGACATCTACCTCTCGCAGGCAGGCAGGCAGGCAGGCGCCTACCCGGGGCTTTCTCTCAGGCGCGGCGCGGGCAGCCCC